GCCGCTTGGGAAGCGCGGTGGTGCTCCCGCTGAGGGTTCGGATCCCACATACAGACCGGCCACTCACTGGATGAGTGAGGAGCGGGGGCAACACCGAGGGTTGCGATCCCGTTGCCGGTCCCGGTCTGGTACAGGCGCAACACTGAGGGTTGCAATCCGTTGCCGGTCACGAAAAAAGACAAAAAGACAAAAAAAAAAAGTGTTAAATGGATCCCTTTGTGTTACCCTTTCAGCCAGACCTTTATGAAAAATATACTACTGTGGTTTATTCAGGTAAAATAAGTAAACTTATAAAGGTTGGTGCCTTTATAAGTCTTTAAAGAGTACAAAAATTGGTTGCTGAGTTTTTTGAGTGCCATTGATGGATGCTGCAGTGTGGGGGGTGGGAGGGGAGAAGGCAGATGAGTGGTTTAAGTTACAACTCCTGCTCTCCAGAATCTTTGAGTCCAGGTTTGGTGACAAGACTTTTATCCTGAAGGTGTGACATTATGGATAAAATAGCCTGGCCTAGGTTGGCGACCATGGGTAAGTCATAATCTTCCTGAATCTCAGCTTTCTTTACTGGAAAGCAAGGATAGTAGCAGCATTCACACCATAAAGTTGTTGGGAGAATTAAATGAGAGATTGCAGCCCTCCACCCAGAAGCAGCAAGAAACAGAGTGTGCCCTGAGTCTTAGGCAGGAGCTGAAGGCAGCATCCCCCACCTGGAAGCAGGCAAGGAGCACAATGAAAATACCACTTCTGTGCTGGTGGCCCACCTCAGCCACTGCCACAGTTATAGCTGCTGCAAAAGTGGTTTTATGTCACAGCGGTAGTCACGGCCACTGTGAGCCACTGTGCACATGGCCTGCCAGACACTTGACTGCACTGACACAAGGAGAGTCACCAGCAGAGACCAGGAAAAGAAGAGGATGTCTCTCTCCTTAAAGCCATTCCAGAGTAATAGAAGAAACAACTGCTCTACCAGATGACCAGACATCAATGTAGAAATACTAGAAATATGAAAACCCAAGAAAATATGACACCAACAAAAGAATACAGTAATTCTCAAATATCAGACCCTGTAGAGCAGGAATCTCTTGAAATGACTGAAAAGGAATTCAGAGCAACAATCTTAAGGAAACTCATTGAGATACAAGGAGACTCAGATGAATAATGAAATGAGAAAAAAAAATCCCAGATATGAAGGAGGAAATTTATAAAGAGATTAATATCTTAAAAAAGGAGGTAGCAGAACTCATGGAACTGAAATATTCATTCAGTGAAATAAAAAACACAATCAAGAGCTTAAGTAGCATGTTAGAACAAGCAGAAGAAAGAATTTCTGATCTTGAAGAAGATCTTTTAGAAATAATCCAGGTGGACCAAACACCCCCCCCAAAACCAAAAAAAAAAAAAACCCAGAAAATGTAAAAAGAACTTTAAAAAATGAAGAAAATCTAAGAGAGCTAGCAGACAACCTTAAGTGCACAAACATTTGAATCATGGGTGTTCCAGAAGGGGAAGAGAAAGGAAAAGGCATGGAAAATCTATTCAATAAAATAATAATGGAAAACTTCCTGAGTATAAGATGAGATACAGACTTTCAAATCCAGTAGGCACAAAGATCCCCAAATACATTCAACCCAAAAAGACCCTCTCCAAGACATATTATAGTCAAACTGGCAAAGCTCAAAGACGAAGAGAGAATCTTAAAAGAAGCAAGAGAAAAGTGTCAAGTCACCTATAATGGAGCCCCTATCAGACTAACAACAGACTTCAAAACAAACTCTACAGACCAGAAGAAAATGGGAAGATATATGCAAAATATTAAAAGAAAAAAACTGCCAGGTAAGAATACTCTACCCAGCAAGCCTATCCTTCAGAAATGAGGGGAAAGAGTGTATTTTCCAGACAAACAAAAGATGTGGGAGT